AGGGATTGGACATGTTGGGGAGTACCCCTCGGTCTCATTTCTTGCTGGGTATAATAAGAAGGTACCAAGGAACCAGTCCATTCCAGAGATGGTGGTCGCTATGCAATCAGATAACTCAGTGTACCAGATTTTATTCAAATTTAACTCGGCTTATTCCAATGGATTTTCGATGGCAGGTGCAGAAACAAGCGAGCATTTAGATCTCCCTGTTTGGATCCCCAGTGGTCAGAAATTTTCATGGAAAGGTTTGAACAATTCTCACCCACCCACCACTTACTAATGTATTTATTCCTGCAATCTTTGAAATTACAGGACTTCCTGAGGCCACTCATCATACTACAGAGAAACACCTCAAATCAAATGAACTCAAACCTGCAGCCGGTTCATAGATATTGGCGAGCGTCACAGAGTGCACAAAGTCCCTGTTGCCCACGACGCAACTGTAGTTGCCACTATCGAAGGAATCCATGTATCGCAGCACAACAAGGGTTGTGGTGTGCTTGTCTGTCCTCTGCGCAAAGATGCGGTCTCGCTCATCGTCTGAGGATTACAAGAAAACAAAATTACAGTTGCGGTCAAAAGTTTACATACACCATGCTGTATTCGATTTCACAGAGTTTTACCCAATGGCACAACGTCCCTTATGCTACAATGTGCAACAAATTAATTGAGAGCAATTTCAGGAAATTTACACAGTGCGGAGGTACGTGACTTGTGCAACAAATTATGACATAACTTACGCGGTCAATTATTGGTGGTATACGTTGCTCCAAACAAAGCAAAAATGAACAATGTGACTAGCTCGTGTTTGGTTAAGGCTCGTCATTGCTGATCTAAACAAGGCTCATGCGAGTAACTTACAACTTTATTTTAGAACGTATAATGAAAATCTTGTTTGGCTGTGAGAGAACTGCAAAATTGACGACTGTTGTTATGTTGGAAGGTAACAGCTGTCCAAAAAGCTGTTATTGTCCTCATCCAAGAAATTTAATAAATTTGCGCAGCTAAGCAACTCTTTGTGAAATTGAACGCAAGTATATTGCGCTGCTACGGCATAAATTTGCAGTGCAAGACTTACGCATGGTTCAAAGTTACAGCACGTTTCTTTAAATCGGCCGCTGGACTGAGAGTGTTTATGAAAAATAAAAAATTTTAAGAATCTGCTCGGATTTTGCAACCTTTTTTTCTGAGGGCTGGCCGATCAAACCCATCAACGTTTTGTTGTGCAAGAATATGGCAATAAGCCAGCAAGTAACCTTTTGTCAGAAATGATATCATCAGGCAAATAGGGGCTGCAGAATTTAGAACATGAAAACATGATAAAGAAACAGTGTGTTCCCTGATTTACATCAAAGCAACAGCGCCCTCACTGGTTCAGAAAAGCTTGACTTCAAACGGATTTCAAGCACTTTGCATACCCCGAAGATGAGTATGAAGATGCAAAAAAGTGAGTCTAATAAAACTTCATCGCATCAAAGCATTTAACTTCTAGCAAAATTTACTATATGCCAAGTGGCTTGCAATCCTCACCAGATATCATGTGACCATCCGGGGCCAGCCACTGCGGTTGCAAGTGGGGTGAAAGGTCGTAGCTACAGGTCACTCGCACCTCAACCACCTCAACGTCACCAGTGCTGCTCCCTGTGACTTCAACTTGGCCCAGGTTCAATGCTATCGGCATAAACGTACATCCACCATTATTTTTTCTTCCATTCTGACAAGAGATACCCCCTCACCAGCAAAAAAGTGACAGACTTGATGAAAAGGCCTGATGCACTTGTAAGGACCGTAGAAAGATTTTTTGCACAGGGATGTGAAAGAAGGTGTGATTATGACCCAAGAGCTGCTGGCTTCATTTGGGGGAATTTGCTCTATCCTTGCAAATCCCCTGTTAGCCCAACGCTGTTGGACATGTATTTGAATATGACTTCAATTCCTGTAACAAATATTCTCATACTTCTGCCCTGAATACTGTTCATTGGTCCTGAATGTCACGACAGGGTGACATAACTACATGTCACACTTACCATGTGACATCACACCAACAAGTGCTATGTATTACATGCATATACAGGTACGCCCTGCAATGCACAAGATAATGCAGGGACGGCTAATCACTACTGTTCAAAGATTCCTCTGCCGCTGTTAATTTTTCCCTCGGAAAATGAGCAAAAATATGATCAAAACAGAGATGTGACAAAACAATTGTTCTTTCAGACCGGCTACAAAGCACCGACAGCCTCAAGACCAGTTTTACTGCTGGGCTGTGGTATGCCCTGAATGGAGGGCTTTGTCCAGCAGCAGGTCCCATTGAACCAGCAGCTGCATGGTGGATAGACTGTATGTGTGGTGTGCACTAATCCTCACACAACGGTGCGGTAGCAGCAGTCCTCCATAGCGAAGGGGTTAAGAGCCTCAGTGATTATGAATGCAATAAACTTGGCCAAAATTTGGGTCCAGAAACAAATTTTCTTTCATACCAGAAATGCAGGCACTGTTCTCCGTTGGTCTTGGAAACCTACTGCAGTCCAGCTGACGAGGCCAGCCCAGGCCAACATGACGCACGCTACGCCAGCACTTGGCCCGCGCCATTTCGCACAGGTCTCGGCACGGTGGCACTGCGCCGTCCGATCCATCCTCGCAAGCTGGCAGGTACGCGGCGCAGGCCAAGGGCTTGAAATACTCCCGACAGCCCCTGCCCCTGCTCAGGAGGGGCAGGTAAGGCCGTAGCTGGTGGATGGCTTCATGCTGGGTCTGGAATCGGTCAAGGTCCTCGGAGCCAGGACCGTAAGGCAATTCAATGGGGGTGCGGGTGTAGTGGTGGATGACCCCTTTACCCCGGCAGGCATTCACCGTGATGGGTTCACATGGTCCTGCATTTGACACACAGAAGTGAGACTGACTGATTGAACAAAACAGGATTTATGCTGATATTGTACAGGCCTAGGTCTAGAACAAATAATGCAATGGTAAGAATAACTGCAATCTGAAATAGAAATGACCATACAGACGACAGATGAACTTTGCCTTGAGGAATCGAATGCCCATTTCATCAGATGCCTCATCATTATTGTTAGCATTACACTCATGAGCATTTACGTGGACAAGATCATGAACATGAAGACTGAACCATGTCGGAGCTATTCTTTTTAATACTTAGGGGGCCTAGACCTACATATTATAATACATGTACATAGCTCCATGACTGAACGATCGCCTAGGCCTGGGTAATTCCAGAATTTAGGGGTCCATTTTTTTGGTGTCCCTGTCACATCTGACATAGGCCTATGATTCTTTAAGTTCAGAATACATTTTCAAATTTCCAAGAGTGATGAATTAATGGAAATTACCTGCCAAACAAAGAGTTTGAAATCAGTTCCGATGATATTTCCCTGTCAAATTATAAAGGTAAGATATGTAACAGGGACACAAAAATGTCACACTTTTGGACCACTAAATTCTGGAATTACCTCTATTTGTTAGGCCTATCTAATGTATTCCTTCCTCCATGGTCTGACTGGAAGCAGCACAGCCATGGCAGTGATTAACCGCGCTGCAATCGCACCTACTAACATGACCGATAACACCAACATTAACTTATTAATGACACCTCCAACTAAGTTAGGCATAAATCCTAAGAAGGGCAAGTCAGAGTGGCTGGACCAGTGTCTATTGCACTTCCCAGTTTATGGCTAATTAGGCCATGCTTAACTAAAAAGTAGGCTAGCCTTAATTAACAAAGATAGCGCCGCGGTATAGACCTTTTTCACCCACGTGACTAAATGTAAACAATACCACCACGTGTGAATCGCCTTGGCCACGGTGATCATATATATATTCCTATACGGGCAGCTTCAACCAGGTGCAAGCGCACGTGCGAACGCTGCATGCTTGACTAGTTAATCTTGAGTAAGTAGATTACCATCACAACACTATGCACTCATTACCATCACAACACATCAGAGGTCCAGCACGACGGTGACATTACTGGAAAAAGGTACAATCTTCAAGCCTTATCTACTTAGTTGCAACACATGTTAGCGAAGAGCGCCGGCGACAAAAGTTTTTGAGAGAGCGCCACCAACAGTTGCTCACGCTCCATTTTAAAGGTACTTTTGGCGCGATGTGCAGTGTGACATCTCTCGGTACACAACATCCCACTGAAGTGTGGTGGGCGTATTACAGTGGGGGTACGTGGGGGTGTATATTCTCCCTCCCCCACACACTTTTTGAGGGAGGGGGCTATTGAATCATCCCCTCAACTTTTTTTGTGGTGAACAAAAAATTAAAGCGGATTGTGAAGAATTTTTCAGACATCCAAGGTCTAGAATGCATTCAGTATCACTCAAAAGCGAAAACAATTTTTAATGCATAGGCCTATAAATGTGCCATTCTGAATACATAATTACAGATGTATATATCATAAACATCGACCTCCAAACAGACTCATGCACCCCCCCTTCAGCTCTTCGAATTTTCATGGTACAAGTCATCCCCAACCTTTCTCCGTCCCCAAGTTCTGGCACAAACTTACGATTTGTTGAAGCAATGAGGAAAACATGGGCCCGTACGTGGTACTGAAACAGTAAGCCTAATTGTCATATAACATTAACGGCGCACTTTTGGGCCCCCTTGGAGCCGCTGTAACTCCATGCCATAGGCCATTATAGTAAGGTTAAATGTAAAACATGTACTTGCGGCACTGGGGAGTGCAAAAAAGGAGTGGTCCTTTATAAGTATGCACTAACCGTCTGCATGTCCAGCTGCAACGAAGTTCACCGAAGCTGTCAGGACAATGACCAACACTTCTTGCCACTTCAAAATAGAGGGCATTCTCGATCGATCGTCAGATGAAAGAAATTAAATGCGAGGGAGAATAGGCCTACTTGCTCAGCACTTCGGCTTCGTCCGCATCCCGCCTGGACGACCGTCCCGTACCTCTCTACCCTCAGTGACCGATGGAGCAGGGCACGCAAGCGAAGCTGAGCCGAAGTTATTTGGGATTGGTTTATTTATGTACTAGGTGAAGCCCACCCCTTAACACAACCTTGGGGTGTGAGACGTGCGACATTGCGCAACTTAAGTATTTCGACCCCAGAGTTTTCGGGACACCCATTGATCCGTATGTACCCATAACGTGTACCTCCTTCCTTTGGTCACAGAATAACTATCGCATGGTATAATTATTATTGCACTGAAGTCAAGGCAATGTACCTGTACGTGTACATGAGTGTATGGCTCGAGCTACTCCACAGCAGTGACATCTGTATCAGTGACGCAAGGGAGAGGAGTGCTTGGGGGCTTTGAACACCCCCCCCTTGCCATCAGCTGCAAAATGACAAACCATAAACGGTGGAAAGGGGGATCAACCCGTGTGGGAAAAACGAAGCCTCAGAAATTTCCCAAGCGATGTCCATGCACTGGCCCTTACTCGCTTGCCTAAAACGCGCCGCGCTTCGGAAATCGCTTTCAAAGGCTTGTGCCGCATAGTTTTGCAAGTAATATTCCTTCGTGTCCCTTTTGGCTAGATTTTCCATTTTTCTTGTGATATCCCGAGCCATCACGCGGTAGGGTTCAGGGTAGTTAACATTTTGATTTAATGTGAATAACGTTCAGCGCGACGGCCTTCACAGATCCAGGCCAGCAGTGGCACCGCGTGGTACCGGGTTCACAGCTTGGGACCTTTCGATTGCACCATGACTGCGGGGTCTGTTGCAAGGTGGCACCTATTTAGACGAACTTGCGAAGTTACTGCGTGTTTGCTGAGATCTTACCCGGGGCCCACTGTGCGTGTGGGTGTAATTGAAGATAAATCAATCAAGGCAGACATGAAATGAAAAGGAGCAGAAAATGTCGTCCAGTGTCGAGTTTTATCGAAAAGTTAAGGTCTGAAGTCATATTTCACCAGAAACAAATGTGTTCACAGGGGTTGTAGGTGTCGCGAACTATTCAAGGAGACTCTTAATTAAAAAAAAATTGTGCACTCTACTAGTACCACTTGCTCGCAGCCTTCGATCTAAAACAATATTTCATCTTTCAGTAAACGAATATCACTAGGACTTGTAAAGCTTTTTTTGCTGAGTGTTTTTGTTTTAAAGATCTATCAATAACATTGTCGAGGGAATTTATGTCGTGTTTATTTATACAAGAAACCCCTCAGGGAGAAAAGTCAAGCTGAGAAAACTATTCTCCGAAAGAAAATGACAAGGAGGGTATTATTCAGTTGGATACCTACTCTGCTGTTTATTGCCCCCTGGGTGGCACCCTCTGTCGATCGGAGGCTTATTCCTACAATGTATCACGAATTTGGAATTGGGAGCGTCGAGGCTACCTCAGCGCAGACTATACTCCGTACACCAGTGGCCGAAAACTTCACAATCCACCGATCAAAACAGTACATGGCAGCTACATTAGGCCTACCAGGTCACTCGATGGTCTGCATTCTGTTGGAGGACTCGATGTAAGTTTGCCGTGATGGGGAAGCCACTCGTGATCGGGATTCTTTTTGCAGTCTGCACGACCGGTAAGGTGTGATAGATCATGGAGGAATGTTACTTCCTCCGTGGGTATATAGTTCACCCTTGAGAATAATCCCGACACGGACCCAAAGCCGTGGATGTTTGTCGATGTTTGTCATATAGAACTACACGGGTATGTTGCCGGGTTAAACATGATTTACCGGACGAAGGGTCACGGGGCCGGGAATGAACCATCCCAAATTATCAGTGCCACTGATGACAGTTTTGGGCCACTTTATGTTTCCTGAAAGCCCTTGATGTTTCGTGCAAGTCAAATTGTCTTTGTAGTTAACGTATTTCCGATGAAATTTTACATGCTCTTTAAGTTTGAAGAATTAACCGATTGTGTGGGTCTGACCCGCAGAAGTTTGGAGCGTGCATGAAAACTGTGCCTTTATAACGTTTGTCGTGCTTCACTTTTATGAAAAGTGGGCACTGCGACTCACAAACAGGAGATTTTGGTGTGCGGAGGTTGATGGTAACATAATTATATTGCTGCATCCGAATCTGTTGTCCAGAGCTAGGGCTAGGTCTTTACTCCACTGGAAATACGCGGATATGCGTCGAAAAGGGCCTAGCTGTAGCTCTTGAAGTCCGTTTTGGACACGGCCTATTACATCTTGTGCCGCACAGTTCCAGGATCCATGAAATGAATTTTTCTTAGAAACGGTTTTTTTTGCATCTTTGCACCCTCCTTCAGCGTATGGAGACTGCTTGAGATCTTTTTTTGCATTACGGGAACTGAAAAGTGCAATTTTTAAACATTCAAACTTGAACAAGCATTTCTGGACAAGTGAGGGCGCTTTTGCTTTGATGTAAATCCAGGAAGACATGGTTCAGTTTGCATGTTTTCATGTTCAAATTGTGAACTCCAAATTTGCTATCTGAAAACAAATATTTTGGGGGGGAAATGTTGCTTGCTGGCTTATTGCCATATACTTACACCACAATAAACTGCCAAAGGAAATGAAAGTTACGATAGCAGTATTTGAAACAATCTAGAAATCCTCTGTGCGCGAATCAGTGCAACGTTCAGATTCAGTGCCTTAGATGACATCATAGTTTTGCTTATGAATAATGAAAATGTGCTTTAGCATAAAACCCCAAAAGCTCCACAATATGAGTTAAAATTGCAAACGAAAATTTCAAATAAGGTTAATTGAAACCTAAAGGTGCAATTTCAAGTGTTTTTGTAAATATTTCTATTTCATGGTCCCTTTAAGCTCCACAGTTGGACAAGGGACTTGGAGACCAGAGCTCGGAATATTGAAATTGCCCTTATGTTCGAGTTCTTTTACTGGCGCCTATAGCACAAACATTGGTTTTTGATATCAAAGGGGGATCCGCAACCATTTGCGGGGGGGGGGGCTGGCTGCGTATTTTTTTCCCCCAAACTAGATCCAACCGTTTCGAAATAGGGCGCCCTCTGTACATATGCATCATTCATAATTTTGTCGATGGCTTCAATGAGTGGTCATGATTATGATAAAGTATAAAGGTTTTAAATTCACCGGAGCTTGGCAGCCATGATGTGTGGATTAGTTGGAAGTACTCCCGATTTGAAATCCTCCGTCTCAGGTTCGAAACCATTTCTTTCGTTCTACAGCTCTTTTTTTTTCAAACCTGTAAATAACAAGTGAGAATTCTCACCATAGGTTTGGTTTGTGAGGTCGAGAACCATGCATTAAATATGCTTGTAACAGACCAATCACAAGACAGGAAATCAAAACCGTTTGGGAAAAAAATTGCCGGCAGGGAGGCCAAGAGGAAATGTTATCATGTATGCCTAATCGTGTAGGACCTTTCTGAGGGGTAAGGCTACATTTGGGAGCTTTTACAAGCTTTTACTATTTAATTTGATTTGTACTTCTAAAGTGTGCATTTCGAGTGCTTTTTCGGTACGTTGGCGTTCTGTTGACACTCACTGACACTAGACTACAGCTATACCCACTCCATCTTGACAATCACGCTACGCTGTCCGTCTATATCACGAAGCATTTGCAAATCCAGCGCTGGAGCAGGAACTTATAATTCCTTTCGAGACATGTTCGAATTGATAGCGCGCATCCTAGTACATGTAGTTCAGAAACAGTTTTACCGTTTATTGGGTGTGTGCGCAGAATGAGGATTCTTTTACAGATGAAAATAAATTGATAAGTCAGTTAAAAAATCATCAATGTTGCAACCCTCCCTCAATGAGACCTGGACACGCTATTGTCCCGGTGACCATGGTAATGCCATCACTCGTCATTTGCCGTGATCCTCGACAGAGGTGGTAAGCATCTTGACAACTGCTGTATGGTACCACTGTTCGGTGACAGTCGCTACACAAACCCCCTACACATGGCTCTCCGCAAGCTAAAGAGGGTCGTCGGGAAAGTCTCTGTCTTACGTTTTGGATTTTTGCCGTCTGTTTTCAAGGCCTTTGTTGCCGACAAACCATCGGCCGCCGACACTTTCTACCGCCCTCGGCCGTGCCTCCACTGTGCCGAGATGAGGGCATATTAGCCTACGAGTACGACAATGCGCCCCCGAGTCCGTTCGCAATGGAACTCGAATTTACCATCGAATACCTGCAAGGTAAGCCGTGCAGTGGGGAGTTTCAAGGGGGAGTTTCAACACATCATCTCTGAGATATCACTTTTAGCAGGGGCCAATCGGGGAAATGGGGGGGGGTTAACTACATTTCGCCCATCCCAAGGCCTCCCAGTGGCCACTCAAAGTAAAAGTTGTGTACTAGTTTGCAGAAATAGAAAAGAGATTAATTAAAGACACAACATGTTCAAAAGTTCATGACGCTTGTTCACAGTTTAATGATCTTCGAACTGAGATGTTACAGGCATCTAGAAAACAGTATGAAAAACGACTATTCACGCACAGTGCTATAGGTGGGACAGGAACAAAGGTGGCTTTGGAAAATGTGACTAAGCAGGAGAATTTATGTTCAAGATAAAGAGAGAAGTACTGTCAAAGCCAAAAGTATTTTCAGAGCCAAAAGTGCGTCCCAAGCAGATCTCTAATTTACGTCCCCCAAAGTACCCCAAGATGTCTTGATGCGCAGATCACGTTCTTATAAGTGGTTTCCCTTGTTTTTTCATTTTAATCAATCACAACGGACGTTATGCCGGATCTGGGTACAGTGTTGTCTCACAGTCACAGTGACACACTATGTAGTGTGTCAATGATGCCCCTGCCAATGACGGAAACATGCCGGGACCCAATGTTCTTTTGAGTGCATATTCTGATTGGGATGGTTGCGTGGGCAGAACCTTTCTAGAGTAAATTTCTTATCGCTCTTTATAATTATTCAAAGAATTTGCCTTTTCTGGCTGATTAAGGTAAGAAATAATGCTAGACCTTGATTTCTAAAAAAAGAAAACATTCCCAGTCTTACGTTTATTGACAGAAGGTATTGCTCTATTCACATTAGAATGAAATCCGGGACTTCCTTTTACTCAGATCTGATCGACTCAGGATGCTCGGACCTTTTGGGTCGTTTCCTTTGTGCCGCCCACTATCAACGGTTGAACTTGATCTCTCTGGGAGGTACCGGCTATGCATATTTCTACCAGAAGCCATGTGCCGATCTCTGCCGCGCCATTTGGCGCGAATGCCGGGTCACCGCCCGTCGGCTTGGCTTGGATAGGGTACCGGAGTTGAACTGTAAAGGAAACTACCCTCTTAAGATGAACGCTGACTGCCTTTCTGGTAAGATCAAGCTCAGGCAAACCATTAATTCGTTGCGTTGAAATGTTTAATCCTAACTCCCCAGGATGTGGGTGCTGGGAGCATCATTCAGAAGTTTTTGATTTGGTTTCAAAATTCAAGCTCAAGGTGTTATCTTTTTCAAAACTGATGACTGATCACTGAAGATAATGTTGACTACTGAATACCTTTTTTATTTTGTCCAGTAGGATTTACCACAACAATCAAAATACACGTAGTGTGTTGACGCCACTTAATACCCTCTAACAGATGAGATCATTGGAAAAGCGTAGAGAATGAAGATATTGAACTGAATAGGGTTCTGTTGGGTTTAGCCTCAAGATCTGTTATTTTCCATTATCAACACAATTCTTGGATTGTTACAGAAATAAAATCAGTACATTGTTACAAATTGATAGAAGTAAATTATACAATTTCAACTGCAAATGTTTTCTGTGAAACAAACTCAGGAACCTCTAAAACTGCAAACCAGACTACACAATATTTACTCAAACTGTGTGGCTTCTGAAATAAAGCGTCGGTTTCACCAAGTTTACCACTGCAAAAATTCCCAAGAAGAACAGAGCCAAAACAATTGTGTGAAAATGTAGGATTTAAATTCAGTGATTGCAAACACTCGTAAGATACACGCCGCAGTACAGTGCAACTCAAGCTGCAAATTCACATTTCAGTCGGAGTAGAAAATACCAAAAGCGTTCATTCGATACCAAATGAACGACTTCTAACCATCATTTTTGGGATAAATGGATTATTTTGATTTGCATTTTGCGCTTGAGACACACTGTAAAATTACGATGTAATTGGAGGGATCAGCCCTGTTAGGGTCGAAGGGCCAGTTGGGTCTAACTACGCGTTAAAAGCCAATCAAATATCCTCCACTAAAAAAATTAACCCTCCCGTGAGACATTCTTCTGATATTGTACCCTTTCCAGACATCACTCGCTTACCTCTTGAAAATCATGTTCTGCTTTGGGCTTGGGATATCTCTTCAACACAGATCTCTTCCCACCGAACGAACCGCCGAATTGGATCACAGCCGTCACCAGGGACAGCCTGGATAAGGCTTCCGTCCACTTCCTCTCTCCAGCATCCACCACGCAGGCAATTCTCATCCGCTTGAACGAGACCTTCTCTCCAGTCGAGAGGGAAATCTTTCATCCTGTCGATCCTAAAGGCCCACCCGAACGCACCATTGAGATCTTTCACCTTTGGAACGCAGGGAGTTATAGAATTGAAATCACAGCCTTGAATGAATTCGGAGAGGGCACAACGACAGTTGCAAATATACCGGCATATAATGCAAGTAAGTCCCTAACAACTCCCACCACGCATATCTTTCGAGGATACGGTCTCCGCAGGTCTTAACACTCCCTGTGATATTTGATAATCCGGATCTATTTTGTCGAACAAATTTCCATGTGAACGCAACATCTAATTGTGAGTAATACTCAGTGTGTAATAGGCCTACCGATGTTAAATAGGTCAGAGGTACAAAATGGCTCTGCTTTGTAAACGCATTTCCTTTTGGGTGTGAGATTGATTATTAAATAATTATGCTAGTACTTATGGAGGAAAAATAGTACATATCTGTTCTGTGGATTAAAATCGAAAGCAACTCCGTGTATAGACCTTAATTGGTAGTTTACAAGGAAAGTTTTACCACTTATCTATGCCAAAAATTATGGCCACCTGTGAACACGAAACCGAAATAATTATTCACAAAGTTTTACAAACATCTCACACAAATATTGAAACGCTGATTAACAAATAATTCCATTCCAAATGAAGACGACTTCCAATCCCATTTCACCAACGCAGGAGCAAAATGTACTTTTTGGGTAAACTTTCTTGTAAACTTAGTAGGCCCGTATAAACTACAGTCAGTGTCTGTCGACAAGAGAAGATTCCATGATCGTAATGTTCGCACGAATGCCACCGAAAATGCTGGCAGACAAGTGAGGGCAGAACAGTAGGAGCAGGCTTACTGAGAACAGGACCATGAATTCTGTTTTCTTTTGTTTTGGTTGTCACTCCCAGGCGTTTCTGACGACGGCGGAACCGTTTCCGACGAAGATTACTGGCGTTGCGAAAACATCACTGTGNCGGGCATCGGCTACACACAGACCTCCATGCCTAACTTCCTCCATCACTGGACTCAGGAGGAAGCCGCGGAAATTCACCAGTTCTCTTCTTTCGTGGATGCGCAGTGTTCGCCTTTCCTGAGGACATACCTGTGCGCCATGTACACTCCAGAGTATGCATTATTTTATTAATTAATTTTTTTTTGGGGGGGGGGGAGGGAGGTGAGGGGTTGATTCATAGGAGAGAGGTCTGCATTTACGTTGATACATTTCGTGAAAAACATCGTATGCGATGCTAGTGGACAACACTTCGGAGAACTCCACTTTCAGTTCGGAAACGAGACGTCCTTAATTGGAACACGTGTACAAAGCCACCCTCACATTTTTGTGAAATGAAAGAGGAGATCCTTGGTGGATGCATTCGTTTGGTATGTGTTTTAAAACCGATATTAAAAACACTCTCTTAGATTCACTCTTGTTCTTGACAAAAGTAACGTTTCTTGAAGAGGTACATACAAACTATACTTGATTTTTTAAAAAGATTTTTCCCTTCTACCTGGTGCTATGAGACCAAAATCTGTGCTATACAATGAACTTTTGCGTTGTACAATATTCTTCTTTCGCAGATGTACTGATGGTACAAGCCGCCGTGTGGTGCCATGCAGAGAGCTGTGTGTACTGGCAAGAGACGACTGCAAAGAAGACATTTACCAGATATTTGGATACTCGTGGCCAAAGTATCTGGCATGTGAGAACTTGCCCAGCTTCAGTGAAGGAAAAGAATGCTACTTAGGAGGTAACGTGCATCAAGTCGTCATGCAGGCGTTGTCATAACCATAAATCCACCTTAGCCGCTTTAAAAAGATCACAGAAAATCCTGAATGATATACCCTTTATCCTCCCTTACATGTCCTCGTATTTAGATATACAGGGATTTGCTAAGCAAAAATGTTCGCTTAGCCAGTCACCCAGCCATACCTGTTACAAGAATTTGCCGTTAACGACGCATTAAATCTTGGCGACGCACACTTTGTGTAAGGTTGTTCATGTGTGTCAGGAAACATCGCATCTGTACAGAACAGAATTTTCATGATTTGTGGATTGTTCAGGCCTTTTTGAATGCCATTCATTCAATACATTTGGTTGCTCAAAAATTCTTCGCAGACCGCCATAATATTTTGTCATCGCACAAACGTGCAGGGAATAATCCAATCGCCTTTCAGTCATAAAGTAGGGGGAGACATATACCCCACGTCCCCAGGATTTACACCCTTGTTCTTTTGGAAGAGAGGGGGGTGAAAGAGAGCCAAAATCGTCATTCCATCACTTTTGTTTGAAAAAAGTTTTGATCCTTTTTTTTGGGGGGGGGTTCCCAATACTAGTCGCTTCGCAGAAGACATTCTGGACTGATCACACCCTGAAATACTGCATCGTAGTCCTTAGCATAATGCTAGTTACAAGCATTTTGTTAACGATGAGCACCTGTGGCATATTACGTGCATTGCATTTTAATTAGAAGCAAACAACGTACAAGTGTAATACTAATTTATAAAGATTTACTCACAAAACCACATTCCTCGTGTTCTTAAAAATAATTGTCCGCCGAGGAGGGCGGTGTATCTTGGACGTTGAATTATACACCATACGGTGAGATCTTACCGTTTGTTTTAGGTGCTCCTGTAATGACCGAAGATCTTGGGCAGTGCGAAGCCATCACTGTGCCCATGTGCAAGTCTGACATTGGCTACACCAAAACAGCCATGCCGAACAGGTTTGGCCACCAGACTCAGGACGAAGTTGAAATCGAAGTTCGCCAATTCTATCCTTTGGTTGAAGCGCAGTGCTCGTCCTTCCTGAAGACGTTCCTGTGTGCCATGTACACTCCACAGTACGTATATATAGAGGGTTTGCATGGCCACCATCTTGCTGGCCAGTGCTTTTGTTCCGCAGGGTATGCTCAAAGAAGGCTTCTCTATGGAAGAACTGCCCTGCAAGATGGCTTCCATGCAGAGCGTGTATTGGTTAGCCCATATTGGTTTTTGTTTCGCTAAAAGTGCGAGTCGGTGCTGGGGTAATTCGAAAATGCACATTTTGGGGCATGAATAAAGGACACGTAAAAGCTGAGGAAAAAACTCCTTTACCATTAGAGCATACGTGTATATAGATTGAAATGTGCCCGTCTTCTGTTGACGCTCTGTTAGATAGCCATAATAAAATAGGGCTGAGTATAAACAAAAGAGAACAATAGAATTTTTCCATTGTACACCACAGAAGCGCGCATGCGTAAGAGGGGAGGGGACAAAAGCCTCCGTTTACTCGGACGGCCACGGAGAACAAAATCAGACAGAACTATCACAGAACCCGCGTTTTTGTGAAAATACTCCTCTAACGCACAAAAATAATTATGTGTGGAAGAGGGAATATCAAAAGATAATGTAATTGTAATAAAACGTTCGTGACGTGCCTTTTGCGTTTGCCATGATTGTTGATAGCAACTTTCATTTCCAAGCAGCACAACGTTTGGCAGAAAGTGCCTGAGCCGAATGTAACATCTTTAATTTAGACAGTTTTTAATTGTGCCTATAGTAACATGGAAATTATCAACGGACCTTTTCGTTATGGGCTTCGAGCTGGACCAAGAAAGGGCTCTATTTTCTTAGCAACGGAGACTCCTTTAGCCGGAACTGAACTTCGTTGGTTCACAAACGACTATGAAATCAAGCGTTACGGTCGCATCGCTGCCAACAAAATGAACACTCCCGAGCATTATGACTCTTTTCGACCTATGAGGGGTGCTTCTTTTCGAGGTGGATTGTGGGAAACTTACCTATGTTGAGTATCCGTCTCTTGCAGGTGTACCAGCGGGTCCCGTCGTCCCATGCTGCCTTGCAGAGAGCTTTGCGTGCAGGTTATGGATAGATGCGAGGGTCTCGTGCAGGAGTATGGACTCTTTGGGCCAGAGGATCATAGTTGTGAATTGCCCAGCTTTGCTGAAGGAGAGGATTGCTACTTAGGGGGTAATGTATGGACTTTATTGTTTTGGGCATTGTATTCGTCCGCCGACGTACCCCCCACCCCCATGGTCCAAGGCCCCTGTCGCCCCACCATTATCAATGTACAAAACTCGTGTGCCAGTTGGAATTCACTGATGATAAATGAGCATCAATGACGTCCTTTGATCTTCCAATTTTGCATCCATGAGTATTTTTTGGGAGAAACGAGGAGGTCACGGGACTATTGCTCGACTGCTAAATAGCCACAAAATCAAGTCGCAACTCTCACGCCAAAATACAGTTCAACAGATATTTCGAGATGCGAGCTGTTTGTTTTCTGCGTCGCTTCTTTCATGGTTGTGTTTGCTAAGTCTGTTCTGTGTTTGACAGTCCAAACAGCCACCAAAAAAGTTCCTCCAAAGGCACGGCACCAATTCGTGAGAACAAAGAGAATTGTATGTAGAATAGCGTATCCAGAATTTGTGTGGGGTAGCGAAAGGGGATTTTCCCTTCGCTGGACAAGCCACTGGTTCACGAAACAAATGTTTCACGTGCATCGAAACTTTCTACCAATCATAAAAAAAATGCATTTATACGTGGAAAAGGCTCCTTAACTACTTGACATCGCTCTAATTTCTTGAGTGGTGTCACACAACCTTTAATGTAAACCAGTTCTCTGCGAGGTTAGGGCTTTATCATCAGACCTGTCTCTTCATGTCGCAGGCGCGCCAGTGACAGATATGCAACCCCACGATCGATGTCAAGACATCAACGTGTCCATGTGCCAGTCTGGCATCGGATACAATCACACGGTGATGCCCAGCGTCCTTGGCCACGAGACGCAGAGTGAGGCGGCGATACAGCTCTCTTCATTCATGCCTCTGGTGGAGTATGGCTGCTCACCCCACGCCAGAAGCTACTTCTGCTCTGTATATCTGCCCATGTAAGTACTTACAGGTTCGCTAAAATGCTTTCAAAGAGGTATAAGGCCAAGGGTGTCAGGAAACACGATCTGAAACTCATGAACAGTGGGTTTTGCAGGGTCAGGTCAGTTGGCCAGTTTTCAATAGAGTCACTCATAACCTGACGCGAAAAAAGAAACGCAGACTCTATTAATACTGGTATTTTCTATTAGTGAAATGATTGATACATTTTTATTTTGTTCCCATGAAGTACTCAAACAATCCAGACATTATGAAATTGATCTAGGTGTAAAGTGAAGTTGAAAAAAATTCGTGTGAAGCAGGCAAAACACATGGCATTATGGTGAAGTTGCAATTGTCATAATAAGTACAAAGCAGCATAAGGGTACTTTAGGTGCACTTTTTTTTTTACATTTGAAATGTGAATACCCTATTGTTTTTGACATTCTTGTTTAATACCTTTGCACGAATTTTGAATTCTGAAATGCTGGTCGACACGCGGTCATTTTGTCTGGCAGGTGCGACATCTCCAGCGGAGCCAAGGTGCTACCTTGCCGGGAGCTGTGTGACTCTGTCAGGAGAGATTGTTTGATGGTGCTACGTAAATTTGGCTTCAGTGGGCCGGAGAGATTGGTGTGCGAGAATCTGCCGAGTCGAAATAGCGGGTCTACTTGCTACCTTGGAGGTATGGCCAAAGTGTATGCTATGGGCGGTATCAAGTCTAAAGCCCGTATGGTTCAGTGAAATTCCTTACCAGTGATGGCACATTTAAACAATGTGAGTGTGAGTGAGTGATATGGTTTTTAACACCCGAGGGACCCAAGGCACACTTTCACCTTGGCTGTTTTGAGTCTTCAATGTAGCTTACCTTAAATTAAAGGTTAACAGAAATTGAAAACATTCAGTTCACGTGAAGTATTTCAAAATAACAATTGATACGTAACCAGTTCAAATACATCGTAAATTTAATGTTTACCCCATTAATTGTGACCCCAACATGAATAAAAAGATTCTGAGTTTCACCGCCCACAAAAAATCCCCTTTTGGCCATTCGCGTTCCCTGGCTGATTTGATGACGTCATCGGCAGAATGCCTACATGTACAGTGTACATGTACATTGAATGATTGCACACAGTACATGCAGTATCGCACGCTTGCAATAGACCACGTTGTATTCGATGCATCTTGGCCTGCTGGCAAACACTGTCTCGGTTCAAGAAATACACAGAAGGACTGTGTCTCTTTCTACCTTGCACTGAGACAGCGTTTGCCTGTGGGCCAAGCTACATCAACGGAATTAAGACTCGTTTAATTTAACGTGATTGTTTCTTTCCCCTCCTTTTTTTTATCATCTTCAGATATGAACCCAACGATTTCAAGCGGTAGTCCTGGCCAACAACAATTCAACATTACAACACCCAACATCAGCCCGAGTACTTTCAAGCCGCGCCGTTACGACATTCACAACCTTGGCGTGCCGTCCATGTTCCACGGCTGGGTGGATGTTCAGGGGCAGGGCGCCGCCAACGACTACTGCAGGTAGGATAAGGGCTTAGTGCATTTGTTGTGCACATTCAGTTACAAATCAGTCATACGCCACTCGACTAGTGGCTCTCGTTGACCAAGCAGCGTC